AAGGGGCAGGGCAGAGACATTTCTTGTAAAATGTGTATTTCTCTCTCCTCTCCATCTCCTTTCCCTATATGAGGGTGTGGTGGTAAAATTACTAACCTTTAAGAGGTCTGGCTGAGAAGTTTATCCTGATTGAAAGAACATTCCTTTCAACTAAAACCTAACACTCTGTGACTGTTTCCAACTCCTTAGTTCTGAGCTAAGTGGGCCACTCCTACAGACCCCACCAAGACCCATCTCTCCATATTATCACTATATTTACTGTTTGATTCTTTTCTAAGATCATGGCAGCTGCAAGCTCCCCTGGAATAGATACCCAGCTTTGCCAACATTGAAATTGTTATTTTTCCCTACCTCTTTTCTTTTTTTATGAAACAATGTACAGGCTGCAATCACTTGGCAGAGAACAGGGGAGCAGAGGGGGAGATGCACTCAGAATGTCCTCTTGCTATGATGATAAAATGATTTGGGTTGGAAGGGACCTTAAAGATCATCCAGTTCTAACCCCCCTGCTATGGACAGGGACACTTCCCTCCCACCAGACCAGGTTGCTCCAAGCCCCATCCAATCTGGCCTTGAACACTTCCAGGGAAGGGGCATCCACAATTTATCTGCAAAGATCAATGATCATAGTTAAAGCTTCTGGCTGACCTGTCCCTAATTGCACTTGGGTTATTACACACTTGAGAGTCCCCAGACTCTCCAAGGGACCATCTGAACCCTCTGTACTGATGTCACTAGCTCTGTCACAGCATTTTGCCATTAGGGCAGCCACAAGGGACATGAGGGACCTCATTCATGGTGTGGTCAGAAGATCTCCCATGCCAGTATCTTGGTTCCTCAAGAGCAGCCACATTTCTGGTTGGGCTCTCCTGGTTCCTCACCCAGCAGAGAGGGGACAGGAAGGGTCCCAACCACTGCCTGAGTCCCCCAGAGCATCTCTGCTAAGTGCACTTAACCAATGAACCCAACAGCACTGCCTCATCTCTGCCAACTGATCTTTCCAACCCATGAAACAGCCAATTCCAGGTAGGACCCAGCTGGAAAGGGATCAGTTTGTGACCTTTACTTTGCCACAGCACTGTTGAGACAGAAAGCAACCAAGCAGCAGTCATGGTTTTCTGCTGCCAGGGAGGATTTACATTGCCCTGGCAGCATGATGGGCAAAGTTTTTAGCAAACAAGTCGTTAAAATAAATTCTTGCCAAGCTTCAAAATATTTCTCAATGATATTAAGGGGCTTTGGCAGCTGTAATTTAACTTTGAAGCAACCTGGTGCAGGCAAAGGACCACACAGCTGGAAATTTGTGCCGCAAAAAGCACCACTTTATGGCTGTTAAGCTGTTGGCCTCCCTATGTTCTAAAGCTGTTAAACAAACACAGCCCTTGGCTCACACCACGTGTGGTGAGGCACAGAGTTTTGGCAGGACTGGGCTGACAGCAACAGGGGCTTCAAAGGAGCTGGGAAGAAACAGGAATAAGGAGAGAAGGAGGATTCAGGGGGAGGAGGAGATGAGTGTTGGCCATCACAGCCCTGTCATGAGAGAAGGTAGGCTTGGAACCAGAGCATGTAGGTTCACATGGAGTTGCATTCTCCTCAAATTTGGCATGGGCTGTGATTGCTGTGCACATATGGATCTTATGCATCCTACTGATGTCACAGCTGGTAGACCTTTAAATCATCCTCTTGCAGAAAGCTGATATTCTAGGGAAGTCCGAATGTGGAAGATTTGGATGCTTTGAATGGGGCAAATAGTGTCCCAGGAGGATGGGCCACATGCTTTAGGCTGCATATCCTTTGCCACGTGTTGCTGTATGTTGAAACAAGCTCCATGAGGTGCTCCAAGAGTAGTTCCAGCCTGGCAAACACAAGCTGAACCCTTTTCCTAATGGAGACATGGCAAATCCACAGGGAAGAGCAAAAATACACTTAGTGAACTCAGTGCTCAAAAATTCAAAGAAATGGGGAAAATCTCCACAAAAAAATAAAATAAAATAAAATAAAATAATTCCTGGCTATTTCTTTATTATTTCCTTCCATTCTCTGCTAATGGTCAATGCTTGTTCCTCTGGCTGAGAAGCTGAACTTGGGAGGCAGGAAGGGCTGGCTCTGCTGCAGGGACATGCAGTGGGAGATGCCTCCGACTGTGCTGCCTGCAGCAACCCATCCAGGACAGGCAGGTCCAGCAGCTGCTGCCATGAGTTGTTTCTCTGAATCAGAAGCTGTTTTAGAAGAACTATAGTGACACTTTATCATCAGTAGGGCACCAGGCAGAGTTGGACAGGGTGGTCATCCCAGTTTGGTGGGGCTGTTGCCCTGTCCAAGGGTCCCACCCTCCAGTGGTAGTGCAACTCCTGAAGATTCCCAATAGATTTTGTGCTGAAAAGGACAGTTCTTTTTTACCCCGTTTATGTTAGAACTTACCCAATACCACCAGGCTGTGTGTGTTATACTGTTTTGTCTGCCAACTAGTGACTCTGGGGCTTTCCATTGCTACCAGACAGACCAGAGACAACTCAAGAAGTTGTGGCTCTCACACTGGTGATAAAAAAGGAAGCTGTGGTAGCATTGTTGGCCTTGCTTGCAGCACTTCCTCCTATTTTTTTTTCCATGAAAGCTCTAAATTTTGGAGTCTAGTTTTTATGCTTTGTCATTTTTTTAAAGCAACTTCTCAGCCATGAAGGGGTACTTCAAGGCTTGACTCTGAAGAGTTGGAAAGCAACAAGCCACACAGCAAGAACTAGTGTTGGATGTATCTTCATTCAGGTGGTAGCTCATGTGGTTGCACAACATTCTTTCAGCCCCCCTCACTGATGTGTGTCCATGTCCTGCCAAGTTGCTGCAAAGAAAAGTCTCAGTGCTAATAGGAAGAATCTAATGGGACATTTTCTACCTAGAGCCAGAAAAATTGTTCATGAGTTTGTTTTCCAGTGCTTTGGGTGATCCATTTTGAGGAGATGAACTAGCAAATTGTTGCTGCTGCCTGAAATTGTTTTTTTCCCTCCCTGATGGATGCAGCTCCACTATATGCATCTTTTTCTTTTTTTTTTTTTTTATCTAAAAGCAGCCTTTTTGATGAGAAGTGCGTGAACATCTCCTGGCTGAAACCAAAATCTGCCAGCCTTGCACATCCTCTTGCTAAGCAATTTACTGCTCCACTGCATTTGGAAGATTGCACTGAAGTCACTTTACTGGCACCAGGAGCCAGCTTGAGAATTAGTGCAAAACTAATTTAGTTACAAACCTCAAAGACACTAACAAAAGCTATTTTTAAGCCTTTGAGAAGTACAGTGTGAATCAGACTTTTCAGAGAAAACATTGTAGGGGGTTCTTACCCTTATTTTAGACACTCAAATCTCCAAATCTGTGGGTCCCTGGTGCAGTTGGATGGCTGAGATCTAGCATGTACCCATCACCACTGTGCAAAGCCTCACGGGGTTGTGGTCACATCCTGGGGAGCATCCTGGAGGTCCCAGCACACTACTTGCCTTGCTGCCTCTCTTGGATTACTAAAGATGTTTGTGGCTGTTGGTTCTTCCTTCTTAGAGACATCATGTGCTTCCTCATGACCCAACCTCTCATAATCTTATGAACCCCAAAAGTATTAAATTTAAAAAAAATAATAATAATAAAGTAAGGTCAATCTCATTAAAAAAACAAGTGTCCACAGCCAGGGCAGGAGGATGGGGATCACATCCCCTCCCTTGGCATCCTTTGGTGCAAACCAAGGTCTGTGTTGGGTAATGCAGGAGTTCTGGTAATAACCCAGATCACCCCACTCATCCATGTGGGCTATATCCAGCCCATGTTGTTCTTACACCTCTTGAACCTTCACTACCTTCAAAGGCATCCTTCAGCAAGCTCAGGTGCTTTAGGGATTGTGCTTGGATATAGTCCTTCCCTTCCATATGCCACGGGAGCTGAGCCCTCTGCAAGGCAGTGATGGGATCTGCAACGGGGAGCAGCTCAGAGTGGTCCCTCAGCCCCTGCATCCCTCCTGCAGGTGTCAGGATGCTTATGCAGGCTCAACCCTCCCCCCCAAAAGACCTCTCCAGCCCATGGGATGGGGAGTTACACCAGCATGTTTCTCTGTGTAATACAAGTCTCAGCATTTAGCACGTTTATCCCTGTGGCTCTTCCCCCTCCTCTGGGTTCCCAGCTGTGACTGGGCTGGTGGGAGCAGAGGGGCCACAGCTCCCAGTGCCAGAGCTGATGGCTGACATTTAATTTTGCCAGTTTGCTTCAAACACCACAACCCCCTGAGTCTGTTCCCCGGGTGGTTTGGCCAGGGGCCACTCTCAGCTGTGCTCAGAAGAATCGATGATAACCTTTTCCTCTGCTTTGGAGTTTCCTGCATACCAGGGAGCAGAAGATGCTGAAAAACAAATGAATCTTGGATTCTCCACGGGTCTTCCTGGCATTATTCCTGATATTTAAAAAACCAAACCAGTTCCCTGTTGGTTTTATTAGCCTTTCTATTCTGGCATTTAGACAGAGATGGGATTGGTGTGATAGATATCTGCAAATGCCCACTGTGATGCTGTTAGGGGTTTCTCTGAAGGGCAGGATGCCCAGAGTGGGGTGTCCAAAGCACCTAAGCTCCTCTGAGCTATAGGAAGGTGTTCTGGCACTAGGATTGTTGGTAATGCCACCACATAGATCATCTTGCATTAAGGTGTGAAGGGTATTTAGGTCCCAGGAGTGCAGCTTGACTGTAAGGTAGGAGCAAGGTTGCTCTAAGCCTGAAGACTGGCACTTTGTGGGGTATTCTTAAGCTACAAAGACGTTCTGGTATTTAATTCTCCTGGAGAACTAGTGGGATTTGAATATTGAACTGATGAACCAAGTCGAGTCCATGTACCTCTTGCAGGGATGTCTTGAGAAGCATCCCAGAGCATCCCAGTGTGGAGAGGTATTGTGTCCATCTGTGTCACTCTGTGCTTCTTGGCCCTCATGACTTGAGCAGTGGGGTTCATGCTTCCTTTCTCCTGGGTTTCAGGCATGGAAGAAACGCTGGTTCGTCCTGCGCAGTGGCCGGATGAGTGGTGACCCTGATGTGCTGGAGTACTACAAAAATGACCACTCCAAGAAACCTTTGCGTGTGATCAACCTCAATTTCTGTGAGCAAGTGGATGCAGGCCTGACATTCAACAAGAAGGAGCTGCAAGACAGCTACATCTTTGACATCAAGACCAGTGACAGGACCTTCTACCTGGTGGCTGAGACCGAGGACGACATGAACAAATGGGTTCGCAGCATCTGCCAGATCTGTGGCTTCAACCAGTCTGAGGAGAACACAGGTACCATCAGAGCCATGTCCATGGCCAAGAGCATCTCCTGTCCTGTCCTCTTTCAGATCAGACCTGTGGGAGGGGGTTGCAGCCCACCACGAGGCTGGGAGGGCTAGAGTGGGAAATGGATGGACACGTGGGAAAGCTCTATGAAGCTTCACTTCCCCTGGCACAGATGCAGACTTTTAGGTCTCTTATAAGAAGTTGGTGGGGTTTGGGGACTTTTTTAGCTGAAGCTTTTGTCTTCATCCCTCACCAAAGTTCTCTTGAGAGTCATGGGAACCAGCAATGAAAATCAGAGGTTTCAATCCTTTGGTTGGGTGGGGGAGAAGCTTTAGTGGGACTATGTCCCACCCCGCTGTCCTCACCACCAACAGGATCTCCTGTGAAGGGCAGATGCATCCTCCCCATCTGCATCCCTTTCTCCTCTTGGGATCTGCTGGGAAAGCACTGGGAGGGGAGAGGAAAATGCTGGGTGGTTTTGTGCAGCAGCAGGACTTGTCCCACCAGTCATGCTCCACTGCCCCATCCTAGCTGTGCTTTGGCAAGCTGTGGCGAGCACCAGTGAGCTGCCTTTGCTTCCCCCTCACCAGTGGGAGCTCACACAAATCCCAGGTGAGATGGGATGGGTTGGGATGAGCATGGGGGGCTAGAGCTGTGGTCTTCTGCCAGTCCCACTAGACCCGTGTCATTCTGTGTGACCTGGTAGCACCTCTGGGCATCTTTGCTTTACCTCATCCGTGATCCAGCCTCATCCAAGGGACCCCAGATCCCGTGCTCTGCCTTCGCAAAACTCCCCACAACAACTTCCAGCTTGAATCAGTTTTGGTCCCTCACGGAGCAGCTGCCATCCACGGGAGCTGAAACTCTGCCAAGAGCTCGTCAGGCAGGACAGCAAACAAAGCACCAGGGCAGCACAGATGAGATGTTCACCGACTGACGCATGAACCGGGACGTCACCTTGGCGATGGGTGTACAAGGACCCTTGATAGAGCCTCCAGCCTGAGCTGGCAGGGAAAGGTCAGGCTAAATAAATGACATCCCATTCCAATGTCAGCAGCACAGCCCTCGAGGTTCAACAAAACCTTTTAGCCCCCCCCCCCTTTTTTTTATTATTTTTTCAGAGCTGTTTTGTTGCAGGATTTTCCATTTTGCCTGCGTTGGGCTGGGGGAACTGTTTTTCTTCCCAGTTAGTAAAATGAGCTTTCAGCCCAGTGGCAGCAGGGTCGATATTGGACTTCAGTGAAAGATAAATCTGGGCAGCAAAAGGAAAAACAATCTCCCACTTGCAAGTGCATCTATCCCAAAGGACACACAGGGCTCCTCAGGCTGCGGAGATCTGAGCACTGTTCCCTGCAGGATCACAGAGTGACATCAGCAAAAGAGGAACAAAAATCTCTATGTGTAACAAAATCACAACTCGTTAA